CCCCCCCCCCGCGGTGCTACCCCTGTGACAATTCCACGACGTTCTGAGTAGTTGTCCTGGATCGATCGAGTCTCCCGATTACCAATATATTAGCTAAATCAATTCTCCAAATTTGTTCAAGCAACTGCGATGATTCCAGTGTCGCAACATGTCCATCTTAGAGCAGCGGCAAATAACTAGTATGACACTTGAAGAATGACGGCGGTGCGCGAAATGCGGAAGCCACATACAATTTGCACATGCGGTCATAGACATACACCAACACGAAATAATGACATACGGCGGCGATAGAGCATTTACTCTTCCTCCTCGTCTCCACCCTCTTCCTTCTTCGCAGCAGCAGCAGCACGCTTGCGCTTGACACGACCTGGGCGACCTCCTCCGTATGGCGACGTGAGAGCGAAGTCAATATGCTTTTGGGAGTCGAGACGAACGACAAATGAAGGGATGTTAACAATCTGCTTGCCAACACTGGACACAGATTTTAATCAGGAATGTTAGATTCCGCTGGAATCCGACTCACCGAATGTGTCTTTGCCTTATCAAAACACGAGCATGATGAATACTCTTCGCCAGGCCGCTCTTGAACACTTGAGTCTGAAGACGGCGCTCCAAGAAATCCTCGATCTTGAGCGACAGCACGTAGTCGAGACGCATGCGCGACTCGTCGAGCACACCGATGCGAACGAGTCGGCGAATGAGAGCATTACCCTCGAAGAGACGCTTGGGGTCCTTGGGATCAAGCTTGAGCAGCTCACGGGCTGCACGACGAATCTTGGACAGGATGAGACCGATACGCCAGATCTCGCGCTTGTTGCGGAGACCGTACTCGCCGGCGAGCTGGAGCGCAAGAGGTTAAAGCTATCAATGCAGATCTCGCCGAGATTTACTCACCTTTAGCTCGGCGTCGAGACGAGCATTCTCGAAGGGGCGACGAGGGACCTTGTAGCTGTTATCATAGTCATGATAATGGGGCACGGCTTTCAATCAGCACGGTGCATCCCTCCACTAGGTGGATCTTGAAGAAAAGAAACGCTCACGTCTTGCTGTGATTCCGCGGGGCCCTTGTCAAGTGCAGTCAATACATAGCAGTTCGTAGCCACAGTCTACACACGTTACCTAGGCATTTTTCTTGAGGATGGCGGAGGAGACGGGAGGGAAGACTGGTGGCGCTAAGTTTGCGAATTGGTATGGCACGGACAAATGTCCATAAACAACTAAGTTGAGAGTGCGCCACAACTGTAAAGCACCATCCTTCAGCCACCCGGCGTTTACCGAACGGGACCTTCACCGTACTCAATACAAGCACCCGGGCCAACGCCAATCCCGACGCCGACGAATGTTAGTATCTTGCTCGCTCTCTGCTGATGTATTCTTGAACTGAGTATTGACCGTCTACAGTCCTCAAGATGCCGCACTCCTTCGGTTACCGGGCGCGTACGCGCGACATGTTCAAGCGGGGCTTCAAGGGTATGCAGACTTGGGTAGGGGTAGTCCTGGAACACAACTTAACAACAATGTTGTAGAGCATGGTCCCATCAAGATGTCGACGTACCTCATTCCCTACCGCGTAGGTGACATTGTCGATATCAAAGCAAATGCTGCACAGCAAAAGGGTATGCCCCATAAATTCTACCACGGGTGCGTCTGTTAGCAATAGCACCTCCATGGTGGGTACTCATCTCTACTCCATACCATATATACAGTCGGACAGGGATTGTTTACAATGTTACCCCAAATGCTGTCGGTGTGATTGTCAACAAGGTTGTCGGCAACCGCTACATCGAGAAGCGGGTGAACATTCGCGTTGAACACATCCGGCACTCAAAATGCAGGAAGGAGTTTTTGGACCGTGTTCAACGAAACCGCGATGCAACTGTGGCTGCTCGCGAGAAGGGCGGTGAGTATTCAATATCATATTGCAAAGCCGACGTCAACTGACTGCTAATCTCCAGAGAAAGTATCGCTCAAACGTGTCCCTGCTCAACCCCGTGAGGCGCGTGTTGTGTCGACGGAGGGAAATGCACCACAGACCATGGTTCCTGTCCGTTACGAGACGACAATTTAAAATGCATGCATCTGCTTTTTACTGTATACATCACGCCATGGGGTTATGACTTGTCATTGTTTTCTATCCGTATGTTCATGCACAATGTTAAGCATAACTTGAAATTGCTGCAGCATTGTAGCCATTTGTATCTTGTACTTTCTGGCGATTTCTGATGAGGTGACGTAAGCACGCTTGCAGTGGCCTTGGTGCTCCAGCTATGGTTCTAACTTACTTACGCGCTGGTCTACGCGTATCCTGGTTGCGTCTACCAGGGTCCAGCGAATGTCTTCCCGCCGACATCGTTCCTACTCTCGTTCACCTTCAGGCGAGCGAGATCGCTCTCGTTCCCGCTCCCCTGGAAGAAACATACCGCTTCCTAGCGGAGTATCGCCCATCTCCGAGTCAGACTACTTCCTCAAGAGCGACGAATTTAGGATATGGCTCAAAGACGAAAAGCGCAAGGTTTGTTGTAAACTGGTAGATAGGTAACATAGCGGGCTGACTGTGTCTTGAACAGTATTTCGACGAGCTGTCAAGTGACAAGTCACGAAAGTGAGTGAGTTCGAACCATCGTACAGTGGTTACTGAGTAAACGCAGATATTTCCGCAAGTTTGTAAAGGTGTGTTTGGGATCATCATCTCCTCTCGCGAAAATGCTCAATACGCCTTCAGGCATGGAACAGAGGGAAACTACCAAGTATGTGTGTGCGCAGCATATCCTTACTCAGAAACTTAATGATCTGCCAGAGGATATGTATCATGGTGTTGACACACTGTCAGCCAGCAGCCAAACTGCTTACCGATGGTCCTTCGCGTCCAAATCTTCGAGCGCCGACCATGCCGCACTCCAAGCTGCACGCAACGAGGTCGGAGCAGCCACTCACAGCCGACATGCTCATTCGTCGTCGTCTGCCGGTGCCCGGCGCATGCAAGGTCCTACTCTTCCCTCGCAGTCAGATTTGACTCTGGCGCAAGAGGCCGCAGACGAGTACCGCGCCATGGAACGCGGCTTCCAACGTAAGCGGGATCGGAAAGAAGCCAAAGAGCGTGTGGAGGACATGGCGGGCCCAAAAGAAGTTGGGAGAGAGGGCATGTTAGAGAAGAAGCGTGCGCAAAGGGAAGGTGACAGAGCATTTAGGGAAAAGGGAGACGAGGGATTGGAAGTGGACGATTCCACATTGATGGGAGGTGGCGATAGTTTCAAGGACCGGTGAGTTCAATTCTATGGGCAAACACTCTGCCGTAACTCATTATGGTACGCGCATGCAGAATTGCTCGCCGGGATGCCGCACGCAAACGATTCGAAGAAAAACGCATGGGGGGAAAAGACGAGAGGATAGTTGCTGCTCGTGAGCGAGCCGATGCGATACGCCAGAAGGACAAGGCGACCATGGATACGTTCATGCAAATGGCCAAGGACAAGTTTGGCTGATGTGGTCCTTGTACGGTCGGCTAACGCTGTGCTTTCCCATACATGCCGCTAAACTTCATGATTCCCGGAAGAGTTCTGCGTGACGGCCAGACTCACGAGCCATACTTGTGAGAATGACAAAATATTCCATTCTCGTGATTTAGAATCGTCAGGTAAGGACACATGTCATCCTCGTGGACCGTGGGCTCGGGAAATCGTACAAGATAGACATCACGGCACCGCCTGGGTGAGACTCGGTGTACGCTGGACTGCTCTGGGAACTATGATGGAGATTCTGGTAACACAAGTGAGTCACAGCACTGGAGTGGCATACACGCTATTTATACAAATCGAACCCGCCCGTTCCACCCGATCGGAGCTGTGTAGCTTCGTGTCCAAGAATGGATGAGCTAGCTGCGGTCGTGCGTATGAGGTACATGATTTTACCGTTCTGTGCACAACCTAGATCAGGAACGAGATAGCCTAGAGTAGAGAGTCTATCCGGTTGACGAGGATCCGTTCGGCGGCGGAGCGCGTTGGTGTTGGGCTCCCCGCGTTATTCGCGTTCTTCAACATCAGTTAGTGGTGAAAACTACTCACAGTTTCGGAGTGGACGCTCACCTTTGCAAAGCCGTTTGTTGAGGTAGATGTTGGACCCTTAGATGCCTTTCTCTTGTCTTTTCTTGTCGGTTTAGCACTTGACCAAGAGGTATTGTCCTGTTCGAGTAGAGCATCGTCGCACTCCTGCAGCCCAGCGGGCAGAACAGATGAGGCATGTTCGGAAACCCAGCTGAGAGACAACGCATGTACTTCTGATACTGTCCCTTCCTGCTCCTCCAGTATATATGATTGCTGGTTGTCCTCGTCGATGACAAAATTAATCTACAATGATTCAGGTTCTCTGGTTCCACGAGGGCCAATGAGAGCGGCTCACTAATGTATTCGTCTCAGATGCATCGTCGCGGGTCACAAAAGCAGACGGTGAATCTGAATGCTGCGGTCAAGCACATCATATATACCAGTATATCAGTATTAGCATGGGCAAATGAAGGAGGATACATACCGGCCTCGAGAGCGACCGAAACTTTCCCTTCACCTTGCTGGAAAACGAATGACGAGACCGACGACCAGAGTGAGACACACTATGTTCCTGATGGTCATGCTACAGAGTTAGTATATATTGTTCAGTGCAGCAGAAATGCTTGCCATGGCAATCTTGCTACGCGGGGTTGACAGGATGAGGGGTTGACAAACCCTAAGCTTTGGTGACAATAAAGTAAAAAGGACGATGGCATGACCAATACTCGTGATCAGTGTAAGGAACGACTTGATGCCGCGCACGATTGAGAGGCTTTCGCATTCATGGCTACTGTCGTTGACATATTAGAAGTCAGTGTACCTGACTCCCTGAAAGCTAAGTCGCTGGCGTGAGATCCCTACTGACACCGGTACATCACGGCAGCTGACATTTGGTGCTAGAACCCAAGCCTCAGCTGATCACCGGTGAATGCAGGAAGACTGGCGCGATATCAAAGACGTCAATAATCGGTCACGACCCTACGCACCACCGCTCATAAGCAAGTCACGATCATTCGTATTAATGCAGTATATCGGTAATCGTACAAGACACTAAAATCCCATGTCAGTGAACCTTTGATGTTGCAAATTAAGAGAACAAATATACGCACTAAGACTCAACGCCATACTAACGCCTACAGGGAGAGCAGCTTCAACTTACGTCCATTGCATCCTTCTTTCCTTCATCAATTTCGTCGAAGACCAAAGATCCCTGCTGCTCCTTCAACCATTGTACGCTGCGCTTCTCATCCATGAAGTAAACATATGCGCGACGGAGATCATCGACTTCAACCCGTTCGGCTTTCCGTCGGCGAGCAATGACCTGCCCACATGATATCAAGTTAAGAGCGTAACGCAGCGTGGTCTGCGCAGCCATTGACGTGAGCACTGTGAGGGCGCTGTCCGCAAGGGCAACGTCTTCCTCCTCGCATCTGTCACAAAATAAAGTACCCTTGTTGAGAGGCTTAGCGCCAATGTACAGACACTAGCGTACCTGATCTTGATAATATCCTGTATTTCCTCAGGAGAGTATGGTTGTGTGCTGACAATGAGCACGCGGTCGAGCAAGTCCACCGGAAGTCCGTGAGGACTGCGGAACTTTGTTCCGCGAATGCGAGCCATACCTCGGTTTGAGGCCATAATCACCAGCGGAGATAGTTCGTTCTCGAGCGCTCGATTGAGGAAAGAGAAGCACTCGATATCGAGCATATGCACTTCGTCAATGAACAGAACCTACGACGAACGGAACCTTCGTCATGAAATGTTCCGAACAGAAAGTCCAGGCGGCACCTACTCCAGGAATTATCTCCGCCTTTCCTTCCTCCCGCCATTCCGCCACTTTCGTGTTTATCTGGTCTCGCAATTCCGGCTTAATTTCGCCCGTGTCACCGGCAAAAAGTGCAAGAAAGCCTTGAGTTCGACTGTTGATAACGTCGATTTCATGCAGTGATACGGTATGTACTACTTCTTTTCTTTTCTGCACCTCTCCTTCTGGGCATTGGACAAAACGCGTCTGTCAAAAGTAGGTGATGCCTGCGCTGCTTTTCAGAAACGATTGATACGCACGTCTGCACCCATAGCATCATAATCCCTGGACCTTGCGAATGACCGTCCAAGTTTCGATACTTTGCCAGACGTTTTGTCAATGGCGATAACATCGCCTGCGGTAACCTTCTCTTTCGAAAGAGCATCAATCATTTTAGTTCCCAAGTCATAGACGGTCTCCATGTCGGTCGTTTTGATTGTCAGCTTCCCCGTTTTTGTCGCCTGACCTGGCGTTAGTATTGCACCAATAGTTGTACATATGCACTCACCCCGGTAAGGCTACGGTCAATTTGCATTTCGACCACTTCCCCTTCTATGATCTCGGTCTCCTCCTTTATGCGCACTCCAATACTTCGCCGCAGAGCTTGAGTTAGCGCTTCCGTCTTCGACATGGACAGCGAAAACACCTCGCTTGCAGCGATCATCGTAAACGGCACGTCTGCTCCCAAAGTTTGCGCCATGCCTGGGTCGAGCATGAATCAACAATGACAGAGCTGTGATAGAAGCCGAAGTAGATACCCAACGCAATGGCTGTTTTTCCGGTGGACGGTGGGCCTGCAAAGAGCATTGCACGACCGGCTATTCGTCCCTCTTGAACCATTTTGAGAATCATGCCTGCTGCTTTCCGTGCTTTCGCCTGCCCTACCATGCCCTGCGAGCTTACTCGAGGCTCCAACTGGTCATCCAAGCCAAGGCCGCGGATGTGTGAGTGGGCACCTAAAATACTTCTTTGTATTCGAGTTGCAGAGCCTGTTCAAAGACCGTCGCTCACCTATCCGCTCCATTTTGGTAATATCACGAAGCTCTGAGCCTCCTGTGGTTATTGTTGCAGCCTATGGGACGCATCATGACTTCGAACGTAAGATTAGAGATTGGAGAGACCCACCATGGTCGCGGCTTGGAGAAAGGTGTGTACTGATTACAGTAAGTTGAATAGGTTGCGGCTGATACACGACACAAAGTTATCCGATCACTAAGAAAGTAGCACAATTATTAAATAAATTGTAATCATTTTTTCCACAATTGTTTCTTACCCTTCCATTTTAAGGAAGGACAAACTCATTGCCCTTGCTCTCTGAACCCCGTCCATCTGGCAACAGCTCAAGCTGCCTTAGGCGCAGTGGAATGTTTTCTGCACGATGCGGGGCTAACTTGCTTCGCTCCTGCTTCATCTCACTAAATTCTGTAGCGACAGCATCACCTTCGTCGCGGGTAGCCTTCCGGTCATGCACGACTGGCTTGGCGAGAACATATGCTACAGAAGCTACAGCCCAGCATCTCCCCACCGATGTCAATGCCGCGCTATCACGCACCTCTGTTCTCTTTAAAACGTACAAACCTGTCTCCCCCGGTATACGACATCTTAAGCGTCCCCTCGCGCCCCATATATATAAAGGCCGGCCTCTCCGACTGCTCACAGTCGCACTTCGTAAGAAGGGCGGACGTAACAACACCGGTCGCATCACAGTTCGCTCTCGGGGAGGTGGACACAAGCGTCGAATTCGACTTGTTGACTTTGTCCGTTCGGAACCAGGACCTCATGACGTGGTCCGTGTGGAATACGATCCTAACCGCTCCGCTCACATTGCGCTGCTCAAAAATCGAAACCCTAATGTGGATGGAAGCAAAGTTTGGAGCTATATTCTTGCGTGCGAGGGGCTTCGTGCGGGGCATGTCGTAGAGAGTTTCAGGCAGGGTATTCCTGAAGGTCTAGTACCCGGCTTTGTTGACTCGAAAGACGTCCGCGGAAAGGTTTTGGACCACACAGATCAGGAGGGGCAGGTACAATCTACATCAACCGCTTCTCTCGCACTGGGCGTGTTGCGTTCGCTCACGATCAAGCCGGGAAATGTGCTCCCACTCCGTCTCATTCCAACGGGCACGATCATCCACAGCATTTCACTCGACCCCCAAGGTCGCGCCATTCTTGTTCGTTCCGCTGGTACATTTGCCCAGGTAGTTGCGCACGAGGACTCGGGACGATACACGCAGGTACGGTTGCAGAGTGGTGAGGTGCGAAAGATTCTGCAGGACTGCGTGGCTACTATTGGCAAAGTCAGCAACCCGCTGTGGAAAAACCGCAATCTCGGCAAAGCGGGTAGGAGTCGGTGGCTGGGACGTAGACCGCATGTACGAGGTATGGCGATGAATAGGTAAGCACCGTCTGGTGTACTGTGTATCGCTTTAAAGTCATTTACACGTGTGTAGATGCGACCATCCTCATGGAGGAGGTCGTGGAAAGTCGAAGGGCAACAAGCATCCGCGTTCTATATGGGGCTGGTTGACGAAGGGCAAGCGCACGCGTAAACCGGGTCCGAAGGGGCCCAAAAACAGCAACAAGATGGTAGTGCGTGAGAGGCCACGGGGTAAGGAGAAGCGGAGTAATTAGGTGCTGGGAATCGCGGGTTGCATACATCTATTCTACATCACGGTTCATTCATCGCTGTCCAGGTCTTCTGCAAATTGATTTGATCGAGTTGTGTACTGCCTCGTCAGGCGTCTCGAGCCCCAGTTAGTTGGTGCATTCAAGTGGTATAAAACAGGTGATCGTACTAAAGCTTTAATGCCTCAGTCCTCCGCCTCGCTCTCATCCTCATCCTCTTCATCTTCGGCTTTCGTCGATACTTTGCATTCCTTTGCTTGCTCCCCTTTCCCGACTGCATCTCTCCAAACAGTCAATTCCTCGCCTAATATCGCCTTTGCTTGAGCAATTGTGCTCTGGAGCGCGGCATAGTACTCCTTGCCACTTTCACTTGGGGCAGGCAGCGGAAATTCATGAGTCTTGCTGGTATCGAGACCAGGCGAGGGTGTGTCTGCAGGGGGTTGCAACTCGTACACAATTGTGAGCACGGAAGTCATTTATGAAGCTCTGAAGTCGTCGAGGAGCAAATACAGAATTGTTGACTGCTCGCAGTTTCTCTTCACGCTCAGCGACGGCAATGTATATAAGATAATGTCACGTGTTCTGAGTTCTAAAGATTCGAAGTTATTGTGAATCTTGATCCGTCAAGTCCAAGGCTTCTCTTGACCTTTTGTCTGTGGGTACAACTACAACTTGCCATCCCTTTCATCCTACTACGGCCGTGATGAATTCAAAGCTGGACTCACGGACGATGATGCGGTACTGCCGAGCAAGCGATATTTTTGCGATCCTTGTCCGTTTTCGGACCTGCAACTCGGATCTCGCCGACAAATCGAGCAAATGAGTGGCCCAGCGCGAAAATCTGCCACTCGCCTCCTTTCTTTATCCCACCACGATGCCTGCACTTGTGCAATAACAACCAAGGGTCCCTGGTACACACCCTTGGTTGTATTGAACACTTCCAGCCGCTAAAGACCTTGTAAAAACCTTAGAACATACCCTAGAAGGAATCCTAGGCTCCCCGGTCTCGACATAGAGCATCTAGACGATTCACTTACGATCTGTCATTCTACTAGAGCATTAGAAGACTCGCCAACATGTCGCGCCGACATTCTTCGCGTCCTAGTCCACCGACTGTCGCTTTGCCACCGCTTTTTCAGCTAGCCCGCTGCTCCCTTGAGCAGATTACCAAGGCTCTTGATAATCTCTGTGCTATCTATATCGACACTCCGTCCCTCGTCCTCACAAAGTCTTCGCTTCCAGGACACCTTCATCAGCACCGCATACACGACACCTCTGTACCTGATTCCGGGTATGCTTCAGCCGAAGAAGACGAGGATGATGATGATGATTTCCGAGATGCAGAACCTTACGACGTCGATATTCTTCTCTCGGATACCTTTGAGCGCGAGTATGCCATTCGCTGGCTTACTGGTTTCACTGCACGTTCCGACGCTTGGGTCTTGTCCGTCGACTCGGAAGCAGACGCTCGAGCTGCCCTCGTGGATACAGCCGCCTCCATCCTCGCCTCACTCTCTGGAGATGAGGAAGAGCAGCCTCTAACTCGCAAATTTATGTTCCCGACAGTGGCAGGGGAAGTCGACGTCGAGCTCAATGACGCTCCCCTGCTCAGCGAGGATCATACCTCCGTCGGATTGCAAAGCTGGGCGAGCTCGATCCTCCTCGCGGAACGCATTTGTGCATCACCGGAAGCTTTCGCACTCACTGCTTCGGATGCGCGCATGCCAAGGGTGCTGGAACTCGGCGCGGGCACCGGTCTGCTTAGTATTGTTTCCGCGAAAGTGCTCCAGCGACAATCATCCGAACCTCGTATGCGGCCTTGCGTTATAGCCACGGATTACCATCCCTCCGTGCTCTCTAATCTCCGGTCGAATGTCGATACCAACTTCGTCCACCCGTTTCCGGTTGCGGTGCAGTCCCTGGATTGGCAGCAGCCCACGTACGACGGCGAGTTGGAGCGGCCGTTCGACGTTATACTCGCTGCGGATGTTATATACCATCCGGAGCACGCGCGGTGGATCAAGAACTGTGTCGAGCACACCCTTGTTCGCCCGGATGATGTGGTCCGAGGGGGACTGTTGTGGCTAATAATCCCGCTGCGCCGAACGGGTCGCCACGAGGGCATGAGCAACACCGTCGAGGAAGTTTTCCCGCATGTGTCGACTATAGGACGTCGGGTGACGAAGGTCCTGGAATTAGCCATCTTGCGCGTCGAAGAACTCGAACGACATGCAGGAGTCGGCCGGGCAGACGAGGGCGGCTACAAGTTATACGAGATAGGCTGGGTACAAGCAAGCAGGCCAGCAGCTGAGTAGATTTAAGTTATTATGGGATCTATGCGCTCAATAATATGTTGGGTTTCTGAACGTTGAATGGTACTGAATGGTATATGATGCTACATCTTGTGCTACCTACAGCATAATACAATAACTCGTCCTAGCATACTCATGAAGCTGGATTGCCAAGTCCACAGAGAACGAGTGCAGCGTTCATAGTCTCCTGATCACAGTTCTTCCGCTCGCTTGACCGGTCGTCCGTCAAACCTTCACACTCTTTCCTCCCGCTACCTTCCAATCTGATGTCCGCTTGTATTGGCTCATTCTCCTTGTCGGCGTCGCGAATCATGCCATCTGTCCACCTTCTCTCTAGCCGCGGTGTACATGCCTTCCCACTTGTAGGGGTGACAACCTCATGGACCTCCATCTCGTTATCCGTGTCCCCGCCTAGGTCAAGCATCAGTGCGCCGTCGCTCTCCGCGGTCATATCCGGGGCTATTTCCCGCTTCTTATCCTTCCCGCCGACACGCGCAGCAGCACACGCCCACTCCAGCGTGCGCATGCGCTTGAGCCGCCCGCGACCAAAATCGATAATGACGCGGTCCTTGTTGATATCACACGTCGGCGTCGGCGGCGAAGAAGGCATAGTGTCCCAGATGGCAGGTCCGCAGCGCCGGGGCGTCACGAGCGAGTATGCTGTCGACCGTCGTGGCGGTGTGCGTGGAGGCTGTCGGGGTTCGCATAGCGATACGACGTGGTCGAGGCAAAGCTTGTGTGAGGGGAGCGAGGCAATCTTCCGGAGACGTCGTTGGGGGGACGGCCAGTCCTCAGGCGAGGGGCTGCGCGAGGGATCGCGCTGACTGCTTATAAGGGTACTTTCCGAGTCTTCCGTCTGCGAGCTGCACGGTGAAGGCATGCGCTCACGCACGGAATGGATAGTCTTTCCAGTGATGTCTGAGAAGGGCGACGAGCCGAAGGATGTAGAACCGTCGTTGGCTCGTTTTCTCGGTGCATTGCGATTGCGGCGGTCCGTCTGTCGCTTATTTTGAAACCAGACAGTGACAGAACGCAGCTCCCTGAAACGTAGTGTCGTCAGACATATATTTACTCAACGTAGAGTTCACACATACTGTAATGCATGAAGACAGAAGAATCACTTACATGTTGCCCTCCTTGGCGAGGTCGTCGCGCTGCACACGCGTGGGATGCGTTGTTTGTCGATAGAGATGTTCAAGCATCATGAGTTGCGCATTGGTGAAGCGCCTGCGCGTGCGTCTCTCGGAAAGGTCTCTAGTATCCGCATCGCCAGTGACCTCCGGACAGACATCAGAACCGAGGGAAGATATACTGGACGTCGAATCAGTACGCAATAACGGAGGATGGTGTGTCTGCATTATGAGCAGGACAGTTACGTGCGTGCGAGAGGGGAGACATACGCGAAGCGCGTGGGTTTTATGCGGATGCGGACACGAGCGTCGACGCGTACAAACACGCAAACACGAGTTCAGTATCACGCGTCGCGTCTGTAAACGCGACGCGACGCGTTTTCACGTGATGGCGTCTTACTACTCCAGGCGCCGCCTAGCAAATCTAAGCAGATACGAGCTACTTCGTTCTTGAATTTCGAGCAAAGTTCGAGCCGGATCTCCAATTTCGTTTTTGAAGCAAACGACGAATGCTCCAATTGGCAGGCTGTATGAACTACTAATAGACAGTAGTTACGTTTAAACTGTACTTGAAGGTTGGTGCATATCACTTGTAATGCGATACCAACATAATCACCTACAGCACTGCTCGAAACATTATATGAACTACAAGTCTTACTTGAACGCAAGACTCTACTGCTCTCCCTTCCACTCGCTGAGTGGGATGCAGTTCTCTTGCCACATGTTTGCATACATTTCTGGGTAGTGTGTGCCTGTCACAGAAATTCACGGCGTCTATCTTATCTACAGCGCTTAGATGATCT